TATGTTAAGTTGTGACTTTCAATGTGTGGCTGCATTACCTAGACATTATGATTAATGATTGCAGGTATATATGACCTGTAGAACTTATGAGCTAAGGAAAAAAGTAAGAACCTCTAAGAGTTACAGAGAACTAAGCCTTCTCGGTGACCCTTTAATTATTTGATTCAGATACTTAGACTCATAGTCAATACATACCGAGTATTTATATTACTTATATATACATTTTCATAGATTGTAGTATTTCATGTACATGTTATGTTCATGAGCATGTTAATAGATTATCTTACTAGTGTATGCTAAAAGCATGTTAACATTTTTACTTGATTCTACATGCTTATAAGAAATGGTCTTCATTTGTCTATGCAATGGCGGAGCCAGGGGGGCGGGCATGGCGATGGGCCCCTGCTTTTTACAAACATTGCTTATAGCTATCTGAGTTTTTCCCCCATATTTGTCTCTCAAATCTTTCATGTGTGAAATTGGTCCCCAAAGCTTTCATATGTGATCCTTAAATCTTCATATTTTGTGATTAGTCTTGAAGTGTTTAAAATTACTCTTTATTACATTTTCCACCCAGATTGTTAACCATGGTTGGGTAATGGTTAATCAGAGATGGGTAATTATCAAATCAACTGAAGTCAACATTAACATCCACCAAAATCAAGTTCATAATTAGTAGTTTTTAAGTCTAACATTGCATATGGTTAGGGTTAGGGGGCCGGGTAACATTGCATATGGTTAGGGTTAGGGTTAGGGTTAGGGTTAGGGTAAGGGTTAGGGGGCCGGGGGTGGCCATGGCCCCCCTGGCTTTTTACAAACAATGCTTATAGCTATCTGAGTTTTTTTTTTCCATATTAGTCTCTCTAATCTTTCATGTGTGAAATTAGTCCCAAAGCTTTCATATGTGATCCTTAAATCTTCATATTTTGCGATTAGTCTTGAAGTGTTTGAAATTACTATTTATTACATTTACCACCCAGATTGTTAATCATGGTTGGGTAATGGTTAATCAGAGACGGGCAATTATCAAATCAACTAAAGTCAACATTAACATCCACCAAATTCAGGTACATAATTAGTAGTTTTTAAGTCTAATATTGCATAATCCTTCCCTACTTGTACTCTAGTGAAGTTTTTCGGGGTTTCAATGGATATGGGTAGAGTTGCTATTACACTTAAAATTGTTAAAGATGGGGGAATATTATCTCAATTTCAACCAGCCTCTAAGTAGAGAGACTAATTGTAAACTACTTAAAACGTCTAGGGGACTAATATGGGGAAAAAGCTATACACGCATCATTTTTTCATGTAGTTTCTATTGCATTTCAAGTATAACCGGGAAATGATGTTTCAATTTCCATGATTTTTGCATTTAATAGTAGAAATTTGAAATGAGGTTTATATTTTCATGTGGTTTTATAGTTTTCTGATGGAATTGTGAAATGAGATTCTTTCAATTTCATAGAGTTTTATATTAAGAAATAAATATGCAAAATGAAATTTCTAAGTTAATGTATTTCTACTATTATTTTGTACATGTGATAGTTTCACTACTATTATTTTGTACATGTTATAGTTAAACTTATTACATTCCTTCTTCTTATTGTTTGAAATAAATTTATTTTATATCGTCAATTTGTCAAGACTTCAAAAGATTATTAATTTGTAGTTTGCGATTATGAAAAAACCAATTATAATCGATACATTTTTTAAAAAGTGAGTTTAGAAGATTGAAGTATGTTGATTCAACAATGAGTGCATATGTTGAAATAATTTAAGTATTCATGAACATATTTTTTATATTAATAAATGAGTGACTAGGAAGTTTGGTGGACATCAACTTAAGTTGATAGGAGTCTTACTATATATATATATACATGTATCTATGTATATACATGTATGTATACATATACATATCTATGTATATACATGTATGTATACATATACATATCTATGTATATACATGTATGTATACATATACGTATACATATCTATGTATATATATACATATATATTTGCGTGTGTGTGTGAGTGTGTGTAAAAGTTTTACTTTAGGTTCTTCATTCACCTACTTATATAGAAAGTTAATTATATTCAACCAGTTGATTGATACAGAGCATAATACTTATATTTTGC